CCACAACACCTCCACAACACGTCCACAACACCTCCACAACACCTCCACAACACCTCCACAACACCCACACAACACTTCCACAACACTTCCACAACACGTCCACAACACGTCCACAACACCTCCACAACACTTCCACAACACCTCCACAACACTTCCACAACACCTCCACAAAACCTCCACAACACTTCGACAACACCTCCACAACACCTCCACAACACCTCCACAACACTTCCACAACACTTCTACAACACCTCCACAGCAAATAGCAGTAGTGCAGTAATTGGTAGAGCAATTGGCAGTAGTGCAGTAATTGGCAGTAGTGCAGCAATGACCAGTAGTGCACTAATTGGCAGGAGTGCAGTAATGACCAGCATTGCAGTCATTGGCCGTAGTGCAGCAATTGGCAGTAGTACAGCAATCACCAGTCGTGCAGTATTTCGCAGTAGTGCACTAATTGGCAGTAATGCAGTAACGACCAGTATTGCAGTCATTGGCCGTAATGCAGCAATTGGCGGTAGTGTGCAGTGATGACCAGTAGTGCAGTACTTGGCAGTAGTGCACTAAGTGGCAGTAGTGCAGGAATTGGCAGTACTCTTGACGCAGGGTGCCCAGAGCTTTTGGTCACCCAAAATCTCGATGTAGGGAAAGGGCCCAATTGAATAGGCTGGGGTTCGAACCAGCGGCCTTTGCCCTGCAAAACCTCCACCTGCCTGTTAGGCTATGGAAGAACAGTGTTGTGGAAGGCGGTCACCCATGTACAGTTTTCGAGAGACTCCAATCCCGGTCATTTGGGCCTTTCCCTGCGTGCAGACTCGAAACTTTGAAACGACCCAAACCTGCCAAGAGCATAACCAAACCCACTCAAAACCGAGCACACCCGCCGAAACCCTCCCAAACCCACCCATTCCCACTTGCCCATGCCCCTTTGCCCAAATGCAACTGGTGCTGGTGCTCTACTCGACTGCCTGCTACTACTTCTACTACTGCTGCCACTACGACACAGAACCTACATACACAAAAATATACACAATATAAATCCATACACATGTACACATACATACAACCTTGTCGCGCCAGCCTTGTCGCAGAAACCCGCTTTTGTTACATACTCTGTCGCGCGAGGGGCGCCCCGGCCCTGTTACATACCAGAAGTTTTTGACTCACTGCCAAATTGACGCCAAGTTTGCACTCTGCAGTCCCGGATGTGTACCGATCGCCATTGCGCAGAAACAGTCCCCTCGATGCCCGGCTCGCTTGCCGAAACATGCGAGGATCGCCATACCCGACAGTGCAGTGCGCGAAAGGATCCGCTAGCAGACTGAAGCTGCCCCAGCCACCAACCTATGACACAAAAATCGCCTGACATGCTTTATGTCGGCAAAATCTGGGATTCGACGGAAGCTCAGGTCTGATCTTCATGTTGTGTGCCAACGTGCCACATCTCGGCTTGACCCGAACAAGCTCACCATCCTCGCGCTTCACCAACACCCCATCACACCCGGAGCAGGGAGTAGCAGCATGAATGATGCCAGACGATGTCTGAACCCAAATCTGTTCATCAGATTCTGAGAACCTACTGACTGCAGCCACTACCGCCCCTTTCTTCTTGCACGAAGCCGACGAAGAAGAAGATGATGAAGAATCAATGTCCGAATCTGATGATTCCTGCTGTTTCTCGGGCTGATCATGTGCCTGCGCTTGCTCCTGAGTCGGGGTACGCACTGAGGACACCAAAGAGCCAGCCTCCACCGGAAAGCGATGATGAGCAGGAGATGACGAGTAGGACAAGACCTTAGGTTCAATGGCTTGTTGCGCAGCTGGTTGTTGACCGCCTCGAGCCTGCGGGTTCAGCGGCATCCAATTGCTCCGGACCCGATCCCAAAAGAGCTGTTGAAGGGAAAGTGCTCCATGTACATCATCCCTGCTATAAAGAAGAACGCAGCCATTCTGTCCGGTTCTGTGATGGCCTTGCAGACCTCTTTTGCGAAAAGATACCTGCAGTTGTGCCAACGCAGCCAATAGACAAGTCTTCAGGGAATGTAGAGTGTATGAGGAGGCCTCCGTGGGACTCATGCCAGCCAACACCAAAATCCCCCTGAATGCCGACAAAGCTTGCGCGTAGCTCATGGGTTGCCATTCTGTTGAGCTGGAGATGAAGAATAAAGCGTCCGGCACTGTCTCCCCAAAGCGCGAAACAATTGAATCCCATTCGGAACCCAACAGAAAAAGGTATTTGCACACCCAACTGTGATAGTAGGACCCTGAGTCGCCGTAGTAGCCACAAGAAACAAAGCCAAATGGCATCCCCCGCCGGGATGACTTTGTTCGATATGAGATGGCCCTCACATTATCTTGAGCAGCTTGAATCGATGTCCATAAAATGTGTTGCGCATCGGAGAAGCGAAGGCTGGCCGATGCCGAAATGAGAATTGCACCCAAAAATAATCTGAACCCCACGGAACCCGACTCCAGTAGAAGAGCACGCTCACAGTAAGCCAAGACATACAGCGGAAGCGGGAGAGCCTCCTTTCTGTCGGAAGTAATGCGAGCCTCCACTCCAACCAAGAGACCTCCATAGAGATCAGGCAGGGCGAGCCCAAACGTCTTGGCAGCCCAGCGAACCGCCTTCAAACCATTGGTGACATGTGAGCCTGACTTGTGCATAGACAAAAGAGCATCGACCACTTCAAGCTGTCGAATGGACTCCCAGCGCACATTCAAATCCTGTAATGTTCCCACGAACTTCAGCAGATGAGCCAAATATCGAACCAAAGTGTTTTCCGAAACCGACTTCAGCAGATTCTGCAACAGGGTTGAAGCGTGACGAGACTCCCCGAGCTCCTGCAACACTGAAGAAATCGTCTGTAACCATGGTTGAACCAGGGCCCACAACTTCAAGCACCTCTGCCAGACTTCAGCGTGCAACATAGCAGATGATTTGAAGCCCTCAGGACCCCGAGTGCGAACCCCACCAACCAAATTGAAGGGTGCGTTGAAAGGCCTGCGAGTCGAACCTGCAGGTGCCGTCCCAGCTGAGTCCACGACAGGCCCAATCGGAGCCTGATGCCTAACTGGTGCATGCCTCAAATAATCTGCAGCTCTGCGAGGGGCAGGAATGGGAGCAGGGGCCTCCCTAATGTAGGGTGCTGAACGTCGAGGTCTAACCGCCGGCTGAGACAGAGGGTTCGGCGTAATCCAATTGCCCCGTGGTCTGCGAGCAGCGTCTGACAAGCGAACAGGATGATCAGCCCCCGAATGCGAGGGACGAAGCACAGTCTGCAATGGCATAAGTGAATCGAAAGCTCCAATCACACCTTCGGACGATGACTCCATTGAACTTCAAACCACAGACCAGCTAGCAAATGGCGCCCCGCTCCACGAAGCGAAGCCGATCGCCTGGCCAGCATGAGAGTCAGAGACATGAGAAGCATCAAAATGCCAAAGCACAGTCCCCCTTTCCGCTGACCAAAAGTGACAAGGCAGCTAACCGCAATCACAAGCGAGTGTGCCAGAGCTCCGAAGTGCCTGGTACGCAGCATGAGGGGAAACCCCCCCCCTAAGAACAGGACGCAATCCTAAAGCTACAATGCCCATGTGCTCTGTTGGAATTGCGCAAGATAGCATGCTTCATAAAACACATGTCGCCTGAAGCACAGGTCTAATCAACCAAGTGCACATGACTGCAGCGCTATGGTTCATTTGAGCCCGCCGATCGCGAAGAAGGAGTTTTCTCACCCCTGACGCCACAAGAGGCAATCAATCTCGATTGGCACGCCTGATCGCAAGCTCTCCCGCTGTGCAATGCAAGAAAAGTCCCACAGAAGCTTCTGTGATCGCCGCCAATTTTTACCCCTCGAGGCATCAACGTGCTGTCGCACCGATGCTTGAAGCACCACTACCGCAAAAGTCGCAAAGGTGCTGGGAGCACCACTACCGCAACACTCTGCCGAAACTGCCATGCGACTGCCACCTTCCAGGAGGGCAATCGCATTGCCCCAAAACTGAAGCCTGCCTAGAGAGAGAGGCGAGCTTGCATCCCGAGCACCGGCCGTGGCAATGAGCAAAAAAAGGCCTCATCGAACTGCTCGGCATCCTCTGCGAGCTCGCCGACGACGCTGCTTCTGAATGTTCTTTGCAAAACGACCGCAGCGCACCAAGCGCAGAGCACGAAGCATGCGCATCTCACACACATCAGCCCAGGAAGACGAGAACGTTGGGCGTTCCCCACAGCTCTCCAGATGCATAACCAAGCCTCGAAGAAGGAAAGCGGGATATCGTCCGCCCTCTGCACATGTACGCGAAGCCGCATCCAGAAGCTGAGCCACTGTGGTAGACGAAGAAAAATCCACCAGGCATTCTGGAGATCCGTCTCGAACGACCTGTAAGCTGCCATGTGTCCGAGTGTCCCAATGCAGCAGCTTGTCCGATGAAGGTTCAGAAGACGAAGCATTCTGCAGATTTTGCAGCCGGAACCAGAGCGAGGCATCGTGTTGATCGGGAGTTTCGCCCTTGTGAGCTGCTGTAGCCAAACTATGGCCGTAGGAAACCGCTATTGCCGTTGTCCGGGGTGACTCACACTGCACCACCGACATAGGGCTTTCAGACCGAGGGTTGGACCAAGGATCCCGAGAGCTCGCCAACAAGCTCGCCAGCCACGAAGAATGCTCCTCATCAGAGCCCTCCTGATGCGACTTGCCAGAAGATGCCATGCTGTCACTACCTCCCCAAATACAATCTCTGAAGGCGTCGGCGATCAGTGTCAGCTAAATCAGCAATAGACAGCAGGAGGACACGCAGCGTGTGAGAGCTGTTCTGCAACTGTCCAGTTTCAGCGAACTCCAAGAAAAGCAGAATGTAGCTCGAACTCCTGGTGGCGCCTACCACGTGGTGCAGCTCAGCACCAAGCACAGCAAACCTCCAACCCGTGACCTCAAGGCCCTCGTGCAATAAGACGAGTATCAGCCGCCGGCGTGGCACCGGGGCGGCCGCGCGCATGGGCAGCCCCCGCAGGAGCGCCAGGAGGCCTAGTGCATTAACACCTAAGCTGCACAGTGTTTGACGAAATTAAGTAGCCATGCTAGCCTGCAAAGATGTGAAAGTGTCACATGTCCAAATCAAAAACGCAACAGCTCTCTCGTGAGCCGGCTTCGCTGCGGCATCCGATAAAGATGCGAAAAAGGGCTCCAAGAAAACATGACATGCCGCATGCAAAAAAGGAGGGAATACAAAATCGCACCAAGCCCGCAGGCAAAAGCAAAATGGTTTGATATTTAAACAGGATCGAGTAAACACGATAACCCGAGCGCCTGCTGTTCTTATACCTCTTCACAATCACTGGCGAATGACTCTCTACTAACTCGAATGAGCCCACAGACGACTTTGCAGGAGAGTCCACACTTTCAAGCAACCCTTGCAAATGACGCTCGAATGCCGAATCCGTGTGTTGGTGGCGGCATGTCTGTAGAACCACTAACCCCCAAAGTGCAGGCACCACTAAGTTCCGGCCCTCTCGCAGTTAAGAAAAATGAACTATCTTTGGACTTGGTGTTTTCGTGAGGGCGGGTGTTTTGAACCTGGCCCGTACTGAACGACCCAAGTTTGGCGAGAAACACTTGAGTTGCAGAAGCCGTTTGAGCCGTCGTTTCACGAGCAAGTCCTTGAACAGTTTCATGTTTTAGTTGTTGAGCCGGAATCAGGTTTGAGCCGTAATTAAGGTTTAGGGAAGTTTAGGGCTTGTGTTTTGGAACATTAGGGTTAAGTGTTTTTGCCACGAGATCCTCCAGGCTGGGCTCAAACTCAGACTCAGCACTGGAAACACCGGATGCGGCAAGAGCTCCCTCTAAGTTGGTCGGGTGCAGGCGGCTCTCCAGGACCGTCACACGCAACTGAAGCGAAGCTAGCTGATCTTGACATGACTCTTCTAACAGGCGAAGGTCGTCTCTGTGCACAAAGGAGCCACCGGCACTGGTCTCGGACTCAGAGTCCGGCTGCATGCGATGACCCCTCAGGGGGATCTACGGCCCATGCACCCTCACGTGAAGGTGTTGTTGTATGAGAGAGATAAAACTGCCAATTGCAAAACAATGCATGCTGAAAAACCACGTGAATCAAATGACTCATCATGTTCATGAAACACCACCCACGTTGGTAAAGTCTTTGCGAAAACATGTGCTTCGACATGTTGCTCATTGGGCCGACAGCTGTTGTGAAAGGAATGTCAACCGCAAACAAAGGGAGTTGCATAAAAACCGCGTTGTTGTTCCATAAAAACAAGCTTGAGCAAGCACAAGGATCGTGCCTACGCAGGGAACTTTTCTGACGTCAGGGGCGTGCACACCCTGGCATGGGCACCCTCGGCGAGGACACCTTTTCAAGTTGTACACAGTCTGGTACTCCTCCATAGTAATAGTCACTAACTGACAATCAACACGTGTGCTGCTCGCCACACAGTGACACAAGCAGCAGGACGGATTTCACCGCGGAGTTCAACAAAGAAGTTGATGCTATCCGTGAAGACAAGCGATGTGGGGGCCTGAATGCAGATCTCCTGAACAAAGACAAGACGCGTATGCTGCAATTTATTGCACCTTTAGACGTCTTCGAGAAAGTGGTTTCCTTTCTATTGCGACGCACCGGTATGCGGATCGACGACGCACCACATGCTGGTGAGGACATGGTGCGTCTCATTGCCACGATCGACACTAAGGAACTGCTCCAGTCATTCAAGCCTTCCCTGGTCTCTCCCTTGGCCACGCAGAACTCCATTGATGGAGCTATGGCGCTTACGAAATGGTTCCGCCGCATGCAGCACCTCTCCTTCAACGCTCCTGCTGAGATTGAGAAGTTTCGCAGCACCGCTCGCCGCGACATGGTGCAGCCTGTGCCCCAGCCTACTGTGCCGACAGCGGTTGCCCTCTTGGCGGAGTGCTCCATGGCCACCTTTGACCCGGTCTCTTTCTTGGAGGCGTCAGCCAAAGACAAAGCTCATTTGCTGCGCTTTGCTCAGGACCCCTTCTCGTCGCAGGCAAGACACGACTGTTTGAGTTGATCTTGCTGTGTTTCGTAGGGTTCATTGCCATCTCCGACACTGGCCGTTGGAGCTTGATCGAGTATGCTGACGACGACGAGAAGTTCCTGAAAGCTGTTCAACGACTCCAGGCTTCTCATCCGTCCATTTGAGTCCGTGTGTCAAGCCTCCTTTCAATAAATATTATTTGTCTGAGACACTTTGTTCAAAATCAACATTCAACTCTAAAACAACCAAGTCCAAAGAAGTCATCAACTGTCAGGTTTGACTTTAAGCAGGTTAACCCAAAAGAGCCCCTGGATTCTTGTGCGCTGCCTATGTCTCCTGCACACTACAAGACACAAACCATACAAACCCAAATAGACACGTTAAGTATTGCCTCTAACCTTGCTCGCCTACAAAACCTAGACAATACGAACCACGCTAATTATGTTGAGTGTGGCCTCTAACCGTGCGCATTTACAAGGCGTAAAAACAATACAAACCAAAATAGACATGCTAAGTGTGGCCTCTAACACTGCACACCTAAAACACGTAAACCATGCAAACCCAAATAGACATGTTAAGTATTGCCTCTAACTTTGCTCGCCTACAAGACCTAAACCATACGAACCACGCTAATCATGTTGAGTCTGGCCTCTAACCGTGCGCACTTACAAGACGTAAAACCCATACAAACCCTAATAGACATGTTAAGTATTGCCTCTAACTTTGCTCGCCTACAAAACCTAAACCATACGAACCACACTAATTATGTTGAGTGTGGCCTCTAACCGTGCACACTTACAAGACGTAAAAGCATACAGGCCAAAATAGACATGTTAAGTATTGCCTGTAACTTTGTTCGCCTACAAGACCTAAGCCATACGAACCACGCTAATTATGTTGAGTGTGGCCTCTAACCGTGCACACTTACAAGACGTAAATAGCATACAGGCCGAAATAGACATGTTAAGTATTGCCTCTAACTTTGCTCGCCTACAAAACCTAAACCATACGAACCACACTGATTATGTTGTGTGTGGCCTCTGACCTTGCACACCTAAAACACGTAAACCATGCAAACCCAAATAGACACGTTAAGTATTGCCTCTAACTTTGCTCGCATACAAGACCTAAACCATACGAACCACGCTAATCATGTTGAGTGTGGCCTCTAACCGTGCGCACTTGCAAGACGTAAAACCCATACAAGCCCAAATAGACATGTTAAGTATTGCCTCTAACTTTGCTCGCCTACACGACCTAAACCATACGAACCACGGTAATCATCTTGCGTGTGGCCTCTATTCGTGCACACTTACAAGACGCAAAAAGCATACAGGCCAAAATAGACATGTTAAGTATTGCCTCTAACTTTGCTCGCCTACAAGACGACGTAAGAACCATACAAACCAACAGAGATATGTTAAGTGTTGCCTCTAACTTTGCACACCTACAACACGTAAACCATACAAACCCAAATAGACATGTTAGGTATTGCCTCTAAGCTTGCCAACCTACAACACGTACATCTACAAGGCATGATCCCTGCAATACAAACCAATCATATGACCCTGTCCGAGGTCCGAGGTTTGGGCGGAGGATCTCAGCATCCCTCGTCTCAGAGCGTGCGTCCTTATTACCCAGGGGGCCCTGTGCCTCTTAGACCAGAAGCAGGCTGACACCGTTTGTAAAGCACTCAAGGCCATGGCGTATGACGGAGCAGCAGAGCCAGCCACTAACACGAACCCGTTTATGCGGCAGGCTGAAGCCATGGACATTCCCTTGACACAGCCACCCGCATCTTCGGACCAGTACGCAAACCCAGAGCACTTATTTTCCAACGAAACTTCCGTTTGCGCGCGGACGGGAAACCCTTACTGCGCTGCAGAAGAACCCTGTGCAAAGCACTCTGTCTTTTTTCTCCTAGCGGATATGGGGGGTCAGTTCGGGCCCGATCTTCGGGCACTGAAGAAGAGGATGCCACTGGCATCTGACGGAAAAAGTCGACCGCTGGTCGAAGGTAAGGCGAACGACTGGTTCACCCCCGCCTTTAGACCCCTACAAGGGATTAACCCGTACAACGGGAGGGTTGGTGAAACGTATTTGACCTACTGGGTCACTGCAGCTACCAGTTGCTACTCTGTGCTCTGAACGGCCTACGGCCTATGTACAAAGCGCACTCTGTGCTGACGCATCTCTGCTAGAGATAGTATAGGGGCGCTGCTCCTGACAGCTCTGCTGCATCTGCGGGTCCCCGACCCCGCATACTATACAGGGTGTGGTGGGTGGGACAAAAAATTTTGGATCGCAGATCCAACTTCAAGCCGAAAGCTGCACGGCAAAGTTTATCTAGTGTGGACCACACGCAAGTGAAAACACTGTTTTCCTTTTTCGACAAACTTTGTCTGCACTTTCGGCGCAAAATAAAACCCATTCACGCACGCATGATGGATGCTTATTTTCCAACGAAACTTCCGTTTGCGCGCGGACGGGAAACCCTTACTGCGCTGCAGAAGAACCCTGTGCAAAGCACTCTGTCTTTTTTCTCCTAGCGGATATGGGGGGTCAGTTCGGGCCCGATCTTCGGGCACTGAAGAAGAGGATGCCACTGGCATCTGACGGAAAAAGTCGACCGCTGGTCGAAGGTAAGGCGAACGACTGGTTCACCCCCCTTGAAGGCACTCGAAGCCTTACACACCCCCCATTCAGTCCGCGCCGAGTGACAACGCCAACGGCACTGCGTTAGGCGGGAGGCAGTGGCGCTCTGCGCCAAGCCTCTTAGTCTCTTCCCACCAGTCTCTGCTGGGTCCATCAGCAATGTTGCTGTCCGTCGGGACTCGGAAGAAAGCGGCCCTGCACTGCAGGGTCTCTTCAAAATCAATTGCTTGCGAGACTATCGCTGCTCCTTCTGCCTTCCGTGTGAAGGCCTTGTGTAACGAGGTACGCGCTGCGTCGTTGTCTATCCAGACAAACAGGTCGCTGCCTGCTATGTGTCTTGCCCACAGCTGAAGGCTGAGCAGATAGGGCAAGAGCTCGCACTCATAGACCAACTGCTGTTTTTGAGCCCTGGCGACCCACTCCCCTAAGACTATCCTAGACTGTTTTTTGCCGCGAGCCGAAAAACTAACTATATAGTTAAATTTTTTGTCTACACTATATCTTATTTTTTTGTCTATAGTTAGTTTTCGTAGGTTGTGAACGAGAGACATAAACTAACTATTATAGACAAAAATCTGTCTATAGTTAGTTTTTGTCGGCGCCACCATAAACTAACTATTATAGTTAGTTTTTTCCACCGGAAACTAACTATAGTTAGTTTCTGGCCGGCGGAAAGTTCGACCAAACTTCGGGTTCCCGGCACAAACACCCCACAGCAAACTTCGACCAAACTTCGGGTTGCCCAAGAGCAAACTTCGACCAAACTTCGGGTTGCCCAAGAGCAAACTTCGACCAAACTTCGGGCAAACTTCGGGTTGCATTTTCCAGGATTTGTCTGATCTTATTATTAACTTGACAGGCAATTCTTCAGATGTTTCTGGTGAGCTGCGATCATTCTCAAGGTTTTCTTTTTGTCTGATCTTAGACCCTAAACCCCTCAGCCCTAAACCCTAAACGAAAGGTAATTCTTCAGATGTTTCTGGTGTGCTGCGATCATTCGGTTTCTTTTTGTCTGATCTTAGCAGGAAAGGTAATTCTTCAGATCTTTCTGGTGTGCTGCGATCATTCTCAAGGTTTTTTTGTCTCATCTTAGCAGGAAAGGTAATTCTTCAGATCTTTCTGGTGTTGTGCTGCGATCATTCTCAAGGTTTTTTGTCTGATCTTAGCAGGAAAAGTAATTCTTCAAATCTTTCTGGTGTGCTGCGATCCTTCTCAAGGTCTCTTTTTGTCTGATCTTAGCAGCTGGAAGAAAGGTAATTCTTCAGATTTTTCTGGTGTGCTGCAATCCTTCTCAAAGTTTCTTTTTTTGTCTGATCTTACCGGGACAAGTAATTCTTCAGATCGTTCTGGTGTGCTGCGATCCTTCCCTAGGTTTCTTTTTGTCTGGTCTTAGCAGGAAGAAAGGTAATTCTTCAGATCTTTCTGGTGTGCTGCGATCATTCTCAAGGTTTCTTTTTTTGTCTGCTGATTTTAGCAGGGAAGATAACTCTTCAGATCTTTCTGGTGTGCTGCGATCCTTCTCAAGGTTTCTTTTTGTCTGATCTTACTACCAGGAAGAAAGGGAATTCTTCAGATTTTTCTGGGGTGTGTTGCGATCACTTTTGTTACCATTTTTTCAACAGGAAAGCCAGTCCACAGCAACACAACGATTCTTCCTCAAGAAACGAGAGTCCGAGTAGCTGTGCTTCGGTCGGCCATGCAAAGTTTTCACTCCAAGTATCCCTCAGCGAAGTAGTAGTACCGTCATATTACAGCTTCTTCTTCACGAAGGGCTAGAAGAGGGCTGCTTCGAGTGAGGAGGGCTACAAGAGGGCTACTTCGAGTGAGGAGGGTTGCAAGAGGGTTGCTGAGAGGGCTGCTTCGAGTGAGGAGGACTACAAGAGGGCTACTTCGAGTGAGGAGGGTTGCAAGAGGGTTGCTGAGAGGGCAGCAAAAAGTACTGTTGAAGAAAGCAACCAGGAGAGGATGTGCTGGTGTTGTTGTCGTTGGAGTTGTTGTTGGCTGTTCCAACCCCAACAATCGCTAGCACTCGACTTCACAAACCCTGGCGAAAGCCACAACCTTAGGATAAATCCCAAAGCCCCAACCCTACAATGCTTTCTACAGATCCTTCCAGTGTTCTTCTTTTTGCTCCGATCAAGCCTCGTGCTCACGAAAATGCCTTAGGCATTCGTCCTCTGATCTCGCCAGAAGAATGCCTTAGGCATTCGTCCTTTGATCTCGCCAGATCATGCTCAGGGCCAACCGGTAACGTCTGAGCATCTTGTTGACAGCATAAGGCCCAACATTCCCCTTCAGGGACATGGAAGCGAGTCGCTGCACCTTCTGTTGGAGGTCCTCGCCGACAAATGCCCATACCTCAAGGTTTCACTTCCACGTGTTTTAGCACACGTTCTTATTGTAATTATGCTTGAAAAAGGTGACAATGCTTGTTATTATGATGCTCGTCTGCCGACAAGGGACGGTTCTGGGATTTAAGACAGATGCGAGCAGACAGGCATGCTGTAGCTGGTGTGCTTTCGAAGTTAGAGTGAAGTACAGTTTGCCGTGCTCTGCAAAGTGCCTCGCAAGATCACTCTGAAGTACCAGCATATCGGAGCATGCTTGATTAAGCTCATCAGCATCCTCGTCCTCCATCGAAGTCTGGCCCTTCGTCTCCGTCAGCTTCCTTTCCATGAAAACGTTACTTTTCAAGAGAAGTGTGATCTTCTTGTGAAGCTCAAGCTCATTACTGCAATATGTTGTCCATAGTGCCAACAGCACCTCCCCAAAATATCGCAGTTCGCCTGCTTTTCCTCGGAGCTTTGGCCCACCGGTTTTTCGTACGAACATGGTTAAACGGCTCATCGATCTGAACCTCACAGCTGTTTGATGCATCCGATAATACTCGCGAATGAATCGCCAACAGGCTGCTAAGTTGTCTTCTGGACTTCCTTCATTCATGACCTCGAAGACAAGGAAAGACATCACAGATCCGAATTGGACGGCATCCGTCCCCAAGAACTTACAGTGCATGTAGTCTGCACAAATGTTGCATGCAGACACACCAGGAATCGAAAATATAGGGTTGCGGCTTCGTCCAGCCCAAGCATGCCAGGCATCTGGTCGCCACATCGTTCCTCGCCATGCAGCCCCAACCTGAAAGTTGCTCCAAGTCGTAAGTCCACTCAATGTCGTCCGGCACATGCTGCACGGCATGCTCTTGTTGTTGTAGTTTGGTAGCTGCAGAAACTGTGTAAAATAATCTAAATCGCCAATCAGCGACCAAACCACTCCAAAAAACCCACCAGCTAGTGGTGTTCCAGCTCGCTCGAGTTGGATCGAGCCTTCGGGAAACCTCATGTCGCGACTGCTTTGAACTTCAAAATGAAGGCAGAGCGAGAGAGCGAGAGAGAGAGAGAGAGAGAGAGAGAGAGAGAGAGAGAGAGAGAGAGAGAGAGAGAGAGAGAGAGAGAGAGAGAGAGAGAGAGAGAGAGAGAGAGAGAGTGGTTGAGAATATTATAAATATTCACATGACGAAAACCTCTAGTTGGGATCAGGCAAGGTGGCAGGGCGATTATCAATAAGACTGAAGGAACAAATCAAACATACGAATTTTGTCTTCTGTGCCTGTTGCCCTCGTGGTCGGTCAACGGCCATAGCCCAGACCAGAGAGCAGTAAATGACCATGCCAAAATCTTCCAGAGGTTTCGCATAGTGGCATACGGGCCATTCTTAACATCGGTTTTCTCTACCAGTCCCATCGACCAGAACTGTGTCGACTTCGTTTCAGTCTTGCCCAGCAAGCTTGCCCATGACACGTTGACGAGCTTCTTGGACCACTGCTTTCCAATCCCAGCGATGGGAACCTCGTCGCCGTGAACCGAAATAGGAATCGCCTTTTTGATGTTGCGATGCAGCAGCGGGTGATTTTCCCAAGCCGGGTGGGAGTGAGATCGCATGCGATCCCAGAACTTTGTACGTGTACCCTCGTCGCTGGCTACATTGCGAAAGAAAGCCTCATTCTCATGCTCGAACATTGAAGCGAACAGCTCATGAGGTAACAATACCTCTTGTGTATGTTCACCTGCGGGGTTTGCAAAGTGGAGCTTGGTTTTGTATGTTTCGGCGACGGCAATATTCGGCTCCACCCGCCTCATAAGGTCGCTGTAGCACTTGTTGCTGAACTTCCCATAGGAGCCTATGCTAGCCAGTTGTGTAATATCTCGAAGGCACTGGGAAGTGGATGAGGTCGGCTCCTCACCGTGCTCCTGCAAAGTTGAGTGGATATCTTGCCTTGCGGCTTCAGCAAGGCTCTGTAAAAGCTGTGGGCTCATATCGCCCCAGCAGAACAACTCCAAAAGCTTCCGGCCCAAACGAGAGTTGGGGCTCACAGCTTTGGTCCTCGTATCTGCATCCGAGGGCGGCAGCTCCCCACCGCGAGGAACAAAATCATCATCATCATCATCGGTGGTGGTTGCGATGCCCTCCTCATATGAAGCAGGCACATAAGCTCCAGCTGCTCGTAGTCTTTGCCGGATACCACCTCGGAGTCTTTTCGCTCCTCCTGACGATGCTGCTGCCGGGGATGAATGCCTCTTCTTCTGGTGACCAGAAAAACCGCTGCCAGCCATCACTCCTACACACCACCTGCCGGTCCTAGGACATTTTCGTGGCACGTAGTAATCTCATTTGTGCTGTATATAGTCGTAGCAGATAGTAGTCGCATGTTTTATCGAATAATAAGACCAATAACTGCTGCAATAAATAACAGTATCACTCGACATCAAGGTCGCTGGGGATGGGGTCTCGTCGGGGATCTTTGTTGATGCCTGTTCATTTCGGGATAGGGTTTTGTCGGTGAACTTTTTTTTATGGCTACTTTATTTGCGAACGGACTGCGATGCCTTGTCAAGTTCTAAGGTGTCACTATAAGAGCTGTGAGCAAGACCGTGTAAAGTGCAAGAGAAAGGGGCACGCTACGCGTCCCTCGACTCTAAGGGGGCACGCTACGCGTCCCTCGTCTTTACCTTTCTATGTGACCGCCCACGCAACGTTTGGCTCAAGTCAATGCCCATAGCTAAATGCTATAAGTGTCTTCTATCCTGAGCAATCAGAGCTATCCCGTTTGCACAGACGAACCGCCGCCGGCAGTGAGTGCAAAAGGAACGGCCGCCGGTTCTGCCTGCATAGGATTGCACGTGTGGAAGTGTGAGAGAGACAGGGTCCAGTCTGTGGAGAGTGCAAGCCAGCCACACCTACATTCATTACAGCTCTGGTGGGGAGAGCAGCAACCTAGTCGAGATCAATCCCCCACGCAGGTTATCATCCGTACGCGGCTCTGCCTTTCTACAGCAACGACTACTTGATCTACTACGACCACAATGAACTCGGGATCAAGCCAAGATACGACAATGACTTTCGGTGCCGATGTTGCAGCGCCAGCCGTTGGTGAATCAACAGCTGATGACACAGTGGTGCAATCCGTTGATAGCTCCACGGAAGATGACAAAGGTCAATCTTCTGCGCTTGCCATTGCAAACGCAGTTCCCAAGGTGAAAGCAAAGAGTCTACCAAGAGCATCTACGCCTTCGCGTCCGACATCCACAGGTTCGAGGACGGGCAAGGCTCCCGAACGACGAGCCGAAGCGTCTGGTTTTCAGGCACCTCGGACTACGTCCAGGGCCAAGGACAAAGGAGTGAAGACCTTGGAAAAGAAGTCAAGACCATCATCTTCGAGAAGCTCTTCAGCACGATCAAGGACTTCGGTTACTCGCGGGCGTGACAAGTCCATGACTTGGAATCGGATGGTTACCAACCAACCACGCGATGCTGACGATCTGGATATGACTCTGGACACTATCCCAGCACGTGGTGATGCGTCATCGGTGGCCACGCCAGCCATAGCCGATGGTCCGAATGCTTATCAGGAGCTGACGATTTCGCAACAGTTCGAAGCATCGAACCTTGCGCAGCAAATGTACTATCGCAGTCAGATGCAAGAGTACGAAGGGGTTGTCCAGACCCTGATGGACAAGATCAAGGAGATGCAACAAGAAGATGAAGGATCTGGAATTCGCATCGAAGAATTGGAACGACAACGTGACCATGCATGCTTAGCCATGAGGCACATCAACAATGTCAATCAGGAGATGAAGCGAGACTATGAAACAGCTTGGTTTCGCATGGATGAACAGAACTCTGCTCAACAACGTCAAGCACATGCCGTTGCCGAGGAGTTAGCTCAACAGCTACACGTGTTCCGCACGGAAGCAGCCACTAACTTTGTGCAGTTGGAGGCAAGAGCGCAAGGCGATGGTGAGCTTATGGCACGTGAGTATGAGCGTCTGACTCATGAACTTCATGAACATGCCAGAGAGAACTTGTTCCTCCGGTCGAACACAGCAATTTCGGAACAAGCCTTACAAGCAATGCAGGAACGATTCCACTTGGTCAAGAACCAGGAGTTGCGGGCCGTGAACGAGATCCAAGGGCTAGCTGGAAACAGCGCAGCCATTGATCAAGAACGACTTCGGCTTCGCGAGCGTCTAGGTGAAGAGGAAGAGTACCGCAAAATGGCTGTGAGGAGGATGCAAGATGCAGAGGACCGACTTCATCAAAATGAAGATCATGCAAGGCGAGCACTGCCTACCTTGCACGACGAGCTGAGTGAACTCAGGAAAACACTCAAAGCACAAGAAGATCTTCAAGCGAGGACACGCAGTGAATTGGAGGCAGCGCGGAACTCCAACTATGGCGGAGCGACACGGCCTTCGAGCATGCCCATGTCTTCGAGGACTACTGAGTCTGGCTGGGAGCACGTAGGAAAGGAAGTAGTGCCTGCATTTTCCGTAGGAGGTGAGGTACGATCCCCTGAAATACGGTCCCCAAGTCAAGTTAGTCCAGTCGCCAAATAGAAGTTCGCATTCTCGGAATCGGACAAGGACAAGAACCTTGTGATGGATGGAATTCCATTTACCGGTGGAAACTTCTTCACTGGCCGCAACTCAATGCCAATTGTGGTGGATGCAATGCCCGAGCACTACGTGCCAGGTATTAGCAGCCCAGCACTTGCGCGTTCCACGCCTAGTGCAGCCACTTTGTTCGGCATACCAAGCGGATTTCCTGGGAAAAGTGATGCGGCAGCCGTGCGTGATCGACAGCTACGCGAACTCTTGGAGGATCGCGGGATGTTGGGATCGAAGTCCACAGCATCTGCCAGCTCCTCAAGACCTGTTGGTGTCGACGGTATCACCGCATCTACGAAGGGCAACGACCTCATAGGTCCCCCTATTGCCTATGACGATTCCATTCATGAAGCAAGGAGACGTCAGATCGATAAAGAGGTCGCGGAACGGTACGAAGAGAAGATTGCCGATCTGCGAAGCGAAGTACTCAAGGCTCAGAAAGCCGAACAGCGTCTCAGAGCTGATCGTGACGAGTGGAGATTATTCGCTGAAACGATTCAGGAGGATAATGGAGACGATGACGGTGACGAAGCTGGCGACGAGAATGAAGATGGAGAGCATGAGGAAGGAACCGGCACGGGGTATGACCCTCCTGACCCGCCTGATGATGATGATGATAAGAAGAGAAGCGGTGGAGGCAAACCTGAATCGGATCCTGGCTCTCATGCGCGTGATCCTGATGGAGACGCAGATCCTGAAGTCACGGAGGTGAGAATTTCCAGGAGGGAGGCCGACAAAGTGGCCGTTCCTCCATGGCCTACTCTCACTCACCTCAACAACTGGCGATCCGTATGCACGGCGAATGTCTTAGGAGCATCAGCCGATCCAAATCATGAGGACTGGATATTATGGCTGGCACCAGCATTCAACCCATTCCCTGATGTCGAAGCACTGAACGATTCAGGACACAAGAAGTTCAAGAGCGTAGACGTCAAACTGGGGATCGCTATGGTCGCAATGCTACGCACTGGTGGTGATAAATCTGCTGACCTGTACCTGGAGGTAAACCGGTAAACCGGAAGGCCAACGATTACATCAGCAGGCCCGAAGGGAAGATCATCAAAGGACGACAAATCATTGCGATGATGTATGAAAGTTTTCGAACGCATGATCGTCTCGACATGATCATCACTCTCGAGTATCTGGTGAAGCTCCAGTACCAAGGCGACAACAAACGTCATACGTTCAAGCAGACGTGGTTGGAAGTTCTGGGACGGATGAGGCCAGAAGACATACCATCCAAAACAGCTCTCCGTGATTGCTTGTACAGCAAGATCAAAGACTCGCCCGCAATGAAGATGGAGTTGGGCATGCACTACGAACACTTGCCCTACAATCATGAAGACCGATCGTACGGCAATCTGATGAAGATCATCGACCGTACCATCATGCGGAGACGAGAACAATCAAATCTCACTCAGACCCAAATTGGCTTGCGCCAGATGCTTGAGGGCAAGGATTTGCTTGCTGCGCCGGCCAAGGTACCTGAGAAACCAACGCCTAACGCAGCTCCATCCGCAAAGGTCAAGGCTTCGCCGACCAAGCCGGATAAAGCAACACCTGTACTACCTCACAGCAAAGCGAAGAGTCATGCGAAGACCAAGCCAAAGCCCAAGAAGAAGACGAGGAGTGAGTCAGCGGACAACAGAGGCGACAAGAGCAAGAAGCAAATCCGCTGCAAGTTCCATTTCACAGATGCAGGGTGTCGAAATGGTGACAAGTGCCCATTCAGTCACTCGAAGAAGACTCCAGAGCGACCCTTCACGCCGAGGACGAGAACTCCAAGTCCATCTGGAGGAGGAGGAAACAGGATATGCTACTCGTTCAAGAACACATGCTCGTGCTCAAGAGAGAATTGTCCTTTCAAGCATGAGGCAGCAGCTACCCCAGCTCCGGAACCAAAGGCAAAAGCTAAAGCCAAATCCGAAGCAAAGGCAGCTCCAGCGAAGCCGAATGCCAAGGCCAAGGCGCTCCCTGCGGCACCCGCCATCAGATTGTGCCGAAGGTGGAATCCATCAGCCCCGGCGATATGGAAGCGATCTTCAAGACAAGATGAGGAGGAGTCAGATTGCCCATCCGTTGACAGCGACTCTGATTCGGATTGTTCAACAGACGACGAATCCTCGGGACCGACTACGTCGACCCGAAAAGGGATCAAGCGTAATGTGACATTCGCCGATGACGTGAAGTTCATTTCTTCGTGTCCTAGAAAATCGAAGAAGGACAAAGAGCGGAAGGTGAAGTACGTCGACATGGAAGCGCTTGTCAACGATGAGGATCGCGCCGTGAATTTGGAATTCGCCAAGCACAAAGCGAGATTGAGGGCACAGATTATGAGAGACATGGTTGACGACGATGATGATCAATGCGGAGATCGAGTTTCATTTGTGCGAATCCCAGGAACGTCTCGGGTGGAAGAAGTTTCCTTCTACGACGGTGAGGATTCCATCGTTGAGCGTGAACTCGATGCTGCACACAGCAAGCGGATCATCAATCAAGGTGTATGCAAATGCATGGTTCAACCAGTCATCCTCAAGAAGAAGATCAAGTTTCTCATGGACACTGGGTGGGGCCACGACCTCATATCTCAGAAGAAGATCGAGAAGCATAGTCTCGAGACACTCGTGACTCCAGAGCCCATATCATTTCAGACAGCAAATGGAATC